AATTCATGCACATTAAAATGAAGCCTTTAAGAGACTTAGGGCTTGTCTATACTTACAGCTCTGCAGCACTTACAGAAGATGCTTCCTATGCTGAGAGGAGAGTTTCTCCTGTCTGTGAAGGTACTCCACTTCCCCGAAAGGCAGTAGTTATGTCACCAGGAGAAACCTTCCTGTTGACATAGTGCTGTCTACACCAAGAGTTAGGTCGGTATAACTGCATTGCTCAGGGGTGTAGATTTTCCACACCCCGAGTGGTGTAGTTATACCAACATAAGTTTGTACTGTGGACCAGGGCTTAGTTTTGTCCTGTTGGATGTCCTTTCATTAAAAAGTCCCCCTCTTCTACTACAGAAGGTAAACTGAAGGAAGAAAAGCATTAAAAAGCATATGTTTTCTTTTTCATCTGATCTGTGCAGGTAGTTCAAAACCTGCTTCAATGGATTATCTGAATGGATAATAAATGTGCCTTTCAGTATTCTTTAATACTGGTTGAAAATATGAGATTGAATAGTACAAAGATATAACTGATCCTTCTACTATCCTGAATAGAAGCAGAAAAAATAATAAAATGATATACAGGTCACTAGAGTCACTGAACATTACAGGGTAATTGCTTTCTCTCATGGAAGCTTACAATGGTGTGTAGCCTAAGTGGAGGAGTGTCGGGTACCTGTCTAGCAGAAGAGCCATTCTGCCAGCATCTCTGGCTAGTACAGACTACAGCCTGAAGTAAATATGCTAGCTGGCCATGCATCCTACAGGCAGTCTATATGTGCCTAGAGCAGTGTTTCCCAAACTTTAACAGCCTGTGAACCCCTTTCACTAACACGTCAAGTCTTGCGAACCCCCTCTTAAAAATGAATATTTCCAGGGTTTTTCTCCTTTACCTGAGTATAAATTATAAAAGCAGTGATCTTGGAAATATAAAATTTGTGTTTATGACATACTTATTACACACTATTTATTATTAATTATCAATATTTTTATTACATTATGAAAACGGCAACACTCTTCCAAGATCTCTTTTTTGTAGCTTGTATCACTTTGAATAAGCCTGTTATAAGACAAGGCTCCTATGTTTCATCAAGGAGTATCAGATGTGAAACAGCATGAAGGTATTTAAGAAGCCAACTTAAAGAGTTCCTCCTACACAAGCATTCAGGTCTTGAGCAGTCCAGGCAAACAATGCACGTTACGACAAAGCTTAAACTTGTTCTTCATAATAATTTTAAAAACAATACTAGCTGCCTATTTAATTTTAAAAACAGCAAAAAAATATTCACCTCCCTTTCCGTTTCTTATAAGGAGTCTTGAAGTTTAAATCTTCTCAGTGTGATAGGCTTGCTTTGATCTGCTTAGCTCTTGGAAGTCCAGGGGCTCCGGGCTGCTGGCCCCGTACTGCCCGGAGTCCCTAGCGACAGCTCTGGCCGCCATTAGGGAATTTTTTTCCTGAGAACCCCCTGTAACATTTTGTGAACCCCCAGGAGTTCACAAACCCCAGTTTGGAAACCACTTGCCTAGAGCAATGCTCTTTCATGCCATTTGAAAACAGGAGAGAGGGAAAGCTTTTAGAAATGTTTCTACATATAATGTTCTGTCCATCACTCACCCTCCCCTTAAGTTCCTTTTCATAGCTTTTTTGGGGAAAGATATGTATTACTTATTAAGATAACAGCACAAATTGCACTGGAACACATAACCAATGCACTTTTGGACAAATGACTGATGTATTTTTCTGTAGCCACATGTTTCTCCAGCCTCATCCCTGGCTGTAGCCTTCCCATTGTCTCTGTTATAAACACCCTGTTCATTTAGTGCTTCACACCTGCTCACACCATCACCTTACTCAAATGCAAGCCTTGATGTTTATAACAAGAAAACAAAAAATATCTTGCTTTGGTTAGATAGTGCTCTCTCTGAGTCTCTGCTCTCAACATGTCTTCTTCGAGTTCCAAATGTCTGTTTATTCAACCACTGCATGTTGTCTAAATACTAGATTATGAGTTTTCAGTTGCAGGAAGTGCCTATGTTACTTATTTGTACTGTATGTAGTACAATGGGGTCATATTTCCTGTTTGAGGTCTGTAAGAGGGTCCGGACTCACCCCTGCAGCGCCTCCTGCTGAACATCCAGGGAATTAGCTCACCAGCCTCTGAAGCGCCCTCTGCAGGCCGGTGATCCACCTTGTCCTCTGCACTGGCCCCTGTGTCCCTCCCAGGACCCCGGTGCCCCTATTACTGGGATGCTGCCCCCTGGCAGTACCCCACAGATCTGGGTATCCCCTCCCTGGGGAACCCCCACCCACTATCCCCATCTTGCCTCAGTACTAGGCCACTGCCAGCCAGCAACTAGCCCCCGCTCGCTGGGGCAGACTGCAGTATAGGCCACTCATCACTGGCAAGGGGGGGTTGGACCTGCTGCCTGGGCCTAGCCCTGGGCTGCCCTCTGCAACCACCAGTACCCGTTGGCCTAATATGGGGCCACAGCCTGGGGCTTTCCAGGCTGGAGCTCCCCAGCCCTGCTCCACTACAGGTACCCTTTGTCTAGCTCCCTGCAGCCAGGCCCTTCTCTCTCTGCCTTCAGAGAGAAACTCTACTGAGCTCCTGGCTCCCAGCCTCTTATATAGGGCCAGCTGTGGCCTGATTGGGGCATGGCCCCAGCTGCAGCTACTTCCCCCAATCAGCCCAGTAGCTGCTTGCTCCCTGGGCTATCTCAGGCCCTTCCAGGCAGGAGCAGGTGTCCACCCTGCTACAAGATCCATAGGCATTACAGCAATAATAATAAAAATCTAGAAGTAGCTGCCAACATGTTACTGAATTTGTTCTTAATACCTTCAGAAAGAGTCCTTTATTGCACATTTAATCCATCCTCCGGCTACATTATATGAGTCTCCTCCATATAACTCATTTGAATGTCAAAGTTAGAAGATGGTAAGACGAAGCATACGTTTTCATGCAACACTTTTACTTTTGGTTTCACATATGAGTTATAACCAAGTTTGATACAATAATTGTGAAATAATGTCATGTCAGTAGAAATGAATGACATATTTAGGAGGGGGAAAGATGTCATATGGTATTCAACAGCTGCCATAACGCCAAACAATGTAATTATAATCTAATCCCATTAGCTGTAATATGTTCTAGTGCAATGTTTAATTGGTTGCACTTTACAAGACTATCCTGTCAAACTGTACTCTGGACAATCCAGCAATACTGACTGCCATATGTCAGTAGAATCCTTAAAGTGCAATGATAGCATTTGCCTTTATTATTGAAGAATGTGGCAGTTCAACAGCAACATATATTTTGGATGGAAAGATAACTTTCAAATATTTGTCAGAGTACATAAGAACATAAGAATGGCCATACTGGGTCAGACCAAAGGTCCATCTAGCTCACTATTCGGTCTTCCAACAGTGGCCAATGCTGGATGCCCCAGAGGGAACGAACAGAACAGTAATCATCAAGTGATCCATACCCTATCGCTCATTCCCAGCTTCTGGCAAACAGAGGCTAGGGACACCGTTCCTGCCCATCCTGGCTAATAGCCACTGATGGACCTATCCTCCACGTACACTGCTTATTTAAGAATTTATGGGCTTAAAGGGATGGTTTCTGACATTCTTCATGTTGATGTGGATTTTTATTTTAATTCCAGCTCCAATCCTAACATGCGCACAGACTAAATTCCTATGTATTGCTGAGTTGTAGTCCAATGGAAAGAGACAAGAAAGACCCCACATCCTGAAAAGCATGCCTCTTACTTAATTCAAGGTCTTACCAGGACCATCATGGTGGAATATTCTGTAAATTCTCTTTGTCCTATTCCTTGTTATACTACTCTGAGTTGCATAGTGTAAAGCCACTGTACATAGAGTTCCAGCTACATTAAGTCTGATTATAACTGCATACCACTTGAAGTGGTTTCATAATTGTTATTTTTTAATATATATGAGAATTGGAAAAAATATACAAGATTAAGAAACAGAATTTAAGGATTGCCTTTGTTAATAAAACGTATTCAGTGGGGAAGGAGGGGAGACAAAGAATGTCATTCTAGTGCACAAGACCCCAATTTAGTAAAGCACTTAAGCATGTGTTTAAACTTTAAGCACATGTATAATCCTATTTGAAATCTGGAAACTGAAAAAAACAGGACGGGATTGATTTGAGAACCTTGATTCAGAAAAACATCCCTATTCAAGACAGCATTTAAACATGTGCTTAACTTTAAGCCACTAAAATCAACTGGATTTAAGCATGTGCTTAAAATTTAACTTACTTTGTTTTAATGAGTTAGAGTCCTTAGCCCGGGTGAAGATGTGCACACACTTTGAAGAGCAAGTCTAGCACTGGTATATTTAACCACTGAATATCACCTATGAGTTTGCGCAGGATATTCACATACCAAATCTCTGGATGTGATCACAATCATAATTTGGGCATTAAAACCAATGCTGGCTCAAATGTTTCCCACTCTGGCCCATATACCACCACCCAAAAGCTGGATGGACACACATACAGTGTGTGAATACAATCAAATCATGACCAACTTGAGTTTACCAGTTCATGAGAGCCTCCAAAACCTTGTGGATGCACCTGAAATCTCATAAACCTTTTTAAGATTGGGCTAAAGTGCTTAATACATTCACAATCAATCCTGAGGCTTACTGGAAAGAATTCTGAGATAATGCTAATGTCCCAAACTAATACCTGATTGCCAGCCCCCAAAAGAACTTCCAGACTTCAACCTATCCCAGAAACAATGGTCTGAATTGAACCATTTTGCTGCCATCTCATACGCCTCTGGAAGATAAGCGACAACAAACAATGTGACTGTGGACACCAGTCACAAACTAAGGATCACACTGTAAATAAATGCCTGGTTCAAGCATTTGCTGGTGGCATCTTAGACTTACACCAAGTCACTTGCAAAGCTGCTCACGGGCTCACTAATATGGATTTAGTTATTGGAACATTGCTAATCACTTCTCTTACCATGCCAAAGAAGACGACGACGACATTCCTGTATTTAAGTATGCCACATAATGTTTGTGTAAAGACAGGGGGGAGAGAAGACAAAGGAAGAAGGCAGGGACAGGTTAATGTTTAAAAAACATTGCAGGAGAAAAGATATATATGCAGACATTGCAGTTGTATAGGCCAAACTCTCAAAAGAAGGGGCAATAGGTTCACCTAGAAAAATGCTTTTGCATTCATTACCACTCCTCACCCACATACACAAAGAGGGAGAGGAGTAACAGCTCTGCAGAGGCTGCTCCCTGCCCCTCTTCCCTTAATCATGAAAAGAGTTTTACCCACAAGTTGTTTCAAATGACATATATTTAACCTGACAGAATTGGCTCATTCCTGTACTAGTAGTTTGCTATTCCTTGTTGTTATTATTTCAAATAGAGCTTATCTCAAATTTACTAAATCATAGGCCTGTTGTTCTTGGATACCAAAATTACATTTTTCTTGACATTGATGATTCAGGCAAGCACAGCACAGGGAATCATGAGCTAGATGAGATTTGAGGCCATGAACAGATATTTTCCAGCATCATGAATCAAAATCTGCAAATGCTGTAGCCATGATTACTGCAAATGGTCATTACGTAAGTCCATTCCTTACAAAAATGACTACTAAGCTAATATACTTAACTGATAATTTTGTAGTGTGGAGTGAGTGTTTAGTAAATTCTCAGTACTTGTAACTAATATATTTTTAATTAGGGCTGTAACTGTAGTACATAAAAATGCTATACAGTTTCTTCTTAGTTATGAGGTAATTTCAGTGTCATAGGTGCCACTTAATGTTATAATTTCTAATAGGAAAGTTAAGTCCTGGCTGTAATGCAGTGCTTCCCTCTGTGTTAATGAAACACTGACAGAGCTCAATGAGTACTAACATAATCTCATAACATTCCACCTCCCAGCACACCAAATGACGCTATCATAAAGAAATACTGTATGTGTGGTAAAGTTCATGGGGTTAGAATTTATTTTCAGAGAAGAAAACGGAACAAGGGCATTAATTGTACCTTTATGTTGCCTATACTGCATTTTAAATGGTGGTGAGAGATTAAGAAACTATAGTGAAACAACCAGTATGGGTGGGAAGCAAGTGGGTTAAACTTAAAAAATAATCGAAATCTCATGCTTGGCATTTCTTTGTGATAGTAGGTACATGCCTTGTATTTTTCTCCCCATGTATATTTAAAATTAAATGAAAGCTCTTTAAATAAGAAACATAAAACAACATGATTCTGATGTGATGTATGTACATTAACTTCAATTACACCCGGAGATGTTTCTTTCCTCCTGTATATGCAGCTTTTGATTTTTCTCTTCTTCTTTTTTTTTTATTTTTTTTGGAGCACTTAAGCACCACATTTAATTCAGGCTAATAATTAATAACAAAATAATTCTCCGAAGAAATTCATTAGGTTCCATTAAACAAACTCTCACTTTGGGAAACTCAATCAGCAAACTCTGGATTCCAAATGAAAGGTAATTATGGTGCTTCACTGAGTACAGATTGATTATTGTACTGAGTTCATAATAATCTGATCTAAGATTGAGTTCACAATAAATCAATCAATATATATCTATAAGCCCAATAATACACATTATCTCTATGGGCACAATCCAGTTTCTCTTACAGTCAATAGATATTCTCCTGCTAACTTCAGTGGGCATTGGATTCAGCCTTTTATACTTAAGGCATTATGTTTCCCTCCCATATAAACATGAAAGGTGAGGAAGATATTAACCCTCTATTTTCCATGGGATTTTATGTACCATTGAGCTGTATACCCATCGCTGGCTGTAGGAGAGGTAGAGATGTGGTTGCAAGCAAAGTGAAAGTCAAACAAGAATGCAGAGGCCAAGGATTCACAGGCCTCTTTGGTCCAATCTTGAAAGTCCCCAGTTAGGCATGCAGAGGGTTTTTCCGGGTGCCCCCAATTCCATCAATACCCATGATGCCCAACACAGCTCTCTTGCACCTATGATTTAAATGACCAGTAGCAGTACTGTATCTCACTCTCATACACCTTCACAGAGACAGATTCTGATATTTAACATGGAGTAATAGTATCACTTTACTCCAGTTGTGCTACTGAAGTCAATGAGAACATTTGCGGAGTAAGAGTCAGACTGCATCAATATGAATAAGAGTAGCTGAATCTGGCCCAGAGTGAACAAAGATCATTAATGCTGCTTCTTGCATCACTAGCTCTTTTGGAATACGTTAGTCTACGTAAGAACATCAACATGCCATTCAGGGCTGTTGTACTCTGTCTCCGTTTCCTATTTCTTGACCAGGCAACCCTTTCCTACATTTTGCTAGGAAACATTAATAAAAAAACATTTTCAATTTCTATATTGCTTAGGCAAAGTGTAATATTTAAGGGTCCATTACATGGTTGTATTAAAATAAATGTTCATCAGAAGACTCAGTCACTTTTCCTCAAATGGGGACTCTGTCCATGCCAAACATCTGCTTTCTATCCTTGGCCTTCCATGTTGCAATTGTTTCAAATTATATATGCTATAGTATAGTTCCCTCTCCTCCCCCCTCCCCCCGTCCAGTTCTCCTTTTACTAAAAAATGATGGAACTGTTTTTTCCTAAGATAAATGCATAAATAATTCCCTTTGAGGCAGAAACAAGACCTTAAAAATTTCAACTCAATAGTCAAAAGTTTTGGAAAGATGTAATTACAAAAATCAGGGAGTCGTAATTGAAACACATATGGAATCTCAACTGTAGCAGTTTCTCCTGATATAATTATAGGTAGCTCTGGTAGTGACAACTACAGCTAACATTGTGTAATACTTTCCATTATAAGACTGTTTTCATTTGCATAGAACACCACCCACAATTAACAGTTCACAATGACATTTTCAATGCTGGATGTATGCTCCAGGAGGAAATGTGTAGGAATGTTTCAGCAAATATAACAGCCATTTTTGAGAACAAAATTAGGAAAAAAAGATGCTGTTTTGCCCATGATAAAATTTGTAAGCCATTTCATTGAAAAGCTCTAGCGCTGCTTTGCCTTGGAGGGTGTCAACGCTTGCCTTTTGCTGTCCCCATGGAAATCTGCCCAATTTTGGCCTCTAAAATATCACAATTTCGACATGTGCAGTAGAGGATTGTTAGAGCTAAATTCTCAGAAGAGTCCATCTGCACTGAGCATGCTCCATTCCCTCACACCTTCTGTCTCCAGACTAGACTAAGCACATGCCATCCCCACAGAACAACTGACCATGTGCCATCATTAGAATCGAGAGCAAAGGAGATTGTGTTGTGTTCTCAGTGCCACCCCACACTGTAATATACAGGAAGGAAGCAGATTGATAGAGGGAGATTGAGGCAACAGCAGGGGGAGGAGGGGAGGACTGAAACAATTGCCAAGGAGGGGGAAGAGGTCAGACTTGGAGGAGAGGAACAGGAGCAGAAGAGCCTAGACTCTACAGCACACTCCTACCAGAACTATTTTTACTCACATGATCATATATTATATTTTCCATAGGGTCTCTGTCTCATTCAGTGCACTGGATGGATGGCGCTCTGAGGATGAATCAGAATTGTGTACTGAATGAGGCTGTTGTCTGTAGGATCCCCTGCTCATTTGGAGAAGAAGTTGGGAGATGCGTAGGGAGAGATGCAGGAGATTGCAGGAAGACGGAAGATCATCTCAGTTAAAGAAAATAAATGTCACCCTGGAAAACTGAATTCTCTCTCTGCTTCTGACACAGAATTTCTATGTGAAGCTGGATAAGTCGTTTAAACTAAACTTTTCACAAAAGTGGCCACTAATTGTGTGTTTCCTATTTTTTGGTTTCTGAGCAACCTTAATTATGACCTTACTTAACTTTTGAGTGCTGGCTGCAGCTCTGACATTCTCCTAGTATAGTTAGTTTGGATGCAATATGTGTATCTATATATGAAGAATATTTTATAGTGGTTATTCTACTTGGCAATGGTTCATCAAAGAAGGCTACAGGAGGAAAATTCATGCAGATTGAAAGAAGGTATGAGACAAGTAACATGTTGATTGCCAAGGGGAAAAATACATGGCTAGCTCTTCAGCGGGGATAAATTCATATAGTCTCATTGACTTCAGTTGAGCTACAACTATTTACACTCACTGAGAATCTGGCCCAAAGACTAAGCAAATATGTCAGATAGCATCACAAAAGCTTTTCCTGTTCTACTCTAATAATTACTAGTAAATAGCCAATAACCACATTCAAAAATCCTTCTTGTTATTGGTATCAAACTTGCCTGTAGCTAGAAAAGGAAAAGTAATGGACAATTACTTCAAAGGAACTGGGTCAGATACTTGGAACCTCATTTATAAGAAAATGACAGCCCAGGGTTGGCTCAGGTATCATTGTTTCATCAGCATGCAACACCAGTGCCACTCAGCAAAAGAAAAGAGAGTTCAGACACACAAGAGGAGAAAGAGAAAAGGAAGGAAAATGCTGCTTTGTTTTGTTATGGATTTTCTAATGAAATGTCCTCCCAGCCTGACCTGCCCTAAACAAAACAACCGGTTTCTGGTTCAGCCTCTTCTCTGGCGCCATTATAAAAAAAAAGGACAGATACACAATCTGGGAAGTTTTCCAGGTTTCTCATATACAATCTGCAGTTTCTATTTCTCAGCTTGTGTTTCCAATACATCACCTTACTTTACATTGTCAATGCAGTCCAATTTTATAATGGACACAGTGCTCTACACCAGTAAAAAGCTGTACATTAGAATAGATTTTGCTCCAAAGGGAGGCAAATCCTTTTGTATTGCTGGCAGGAGAACAGCCAGCCTATTCCTTCTTGAACAATAGCAGTGGCGCTGGTGTGACTTAATGCACAAAGGGGGATGGTCTGGGGAATTATGCAGCTGGTTGCACACTTCTTATGCAAAGTCTAGATCCCTGGGGTTCCCTATGCAGCAGCGCATACAGGTAGGAGAGAAGCAGGGCTACTGGATCTACCACTGTGTGGGTCTTCTTTTCTCACCCTGCAGCAATCACA